AGGGGGGGAGAACACTTACCTGATACTCTGAGTCAAGAGTGAGATGACTTGTAGCGGCCGCCATTGGCACCCTGGACACAGACACCAAGCAACAGCGAGACGGTGAGCCGGGAGACGGGTGGGGATCCCCCAGATTTCGGCGGCCCCCACCCCCCGCACTTGACAGCTGACCTCTGACCCCTCTGGCGCTGGAGAGGTCCTCTGAGGAGGCGCTCCGGTTGGATGAACTGGCTTTATTCACTCTTCTAGCTCCGCCCCTTTGGGATATTCGAAGATCGTCCAGCGATTTCGAAGAGTTGGAATTCGACGGAGATAAAGCTTGCTGCTTTCCGAAGAAAGTTTTTTGTTTTTTTCCACAACTGCCTTTATTATTTTTCCCAGAGTCTTGAGACGACGAACCGCCTGTGAACCCTCTCGCCACAAGGAAAGGCACAGGGGAGAGTGGTTCTTTTTTCGGGGGAATTTTCCTCCTGTTGTAGTATTTTTTATCTTCGTCGTTGTCGTCGTCGTCGTCGTTGTTGTCTTTGTCGTTTTCGTCGTCGTAATCAATTCCTCCTCCTCCTCCTCCACCTCCACTTTCTCTGTCGTGATGGCTGCGGTTGAATGAAGCGTGGACCTCCGCCCTATGAACTGCAAGGCGCGGAAAATTTGAGTCTATGTCATGTGACGCATGAACGGTGAAAATGGCAGCGTCGGGAGAGGTGGGCGATAGGGCGCAGGGGGAGGGGTCTTCCTGGGGAAGGCGCTGATAGGATGACTTCTGGGGCACGGACTGTCTCCTGATTCGCTGGCTTGTGACGCTGGGCGGGGCCTGGCGTTGTGATGAGGATGATGACGATGACGTGGATGAAGATGGCGGCAAGTTCAATGATAGCTTACGGGACCTGTAGGGAGTAGATCGTTTTTTGAAAGTCAAAATTCAACACATGAGAGCGCGCGCGCGCACGCACGCACACACATACACACACATATACACACACAAACACACACACACACACACACACAAACCTACTGATTTACACATTGGCACTATCATCATCATCATCATCATCATCATCATCATCATCATCATCATCATCATCATCATCATCATCATCATCATCACCGTCATCAACATCTTCATCATTATCGTCAATCTTCTTCTTCTTC